CCGCTGCTCCGCCGCGGGGCCCGGGGCCGGGGCCGTCGGTAAGGGCGGGGCGGGGCGGGGGCGGCGTGCCCACGCGCGGAGACCGTGCCCGCGCGTGACACCGAGTAGCGGCGGTGGAGCTGCGCATCGCCCGCGCCACGCAGCTCTGCTCTCACGCGTGTCCCGCYCGGCGCGGCGGTGCCAGCTGGCGGGCTTGCGGAATGGCGGTGGGGACCCCCCCAATACACCCACGCGTGTGTCTGGGCCCTCCCGCTGCCTGCCCGCTCCKCACCCGCCCCATGGGCGGGCGTCGGGAGGGTCCCAGCATGTTTCCCCAGTGGGGCAAGCTGCGCCAAAACTCCTGCGTCGACACAGCTTGTTCCCATCAGCCCAGGATGACAATCGCCTCCCCGTAGCACCCGGTCACCCCCATGTCACCATGCCATCCCGGCACGCTGACAGCTTGTCCCCACTCGTGTCACAGGTGGGAGTGGGTGGCCCCACTGGGCACCATGCCGCTGGGGCAGGATGGACCCAGCTGGAAGAAGAGGACYGAGGATATTCAGCGGATCTATGATTTCCGAGATGTCCTGGGCACGTGAGTTGCAGACTGGGGTGACACACCAGTGACAACCCACTCGCAGTGATGGGTCTGGCCCCTCAGGCTTTGCCCAACCTGCCATGTGGAACCAACTCAAATCCTGGCCCAAGGTGGGTCTGGCACGTGAAGGGACATGCTGTGGGGCACAGGTACCACCTCCCTCTGGTGCTGGCTGGTTCTCTGTGCTGTGCTGAGGGTGCCTGAGGATGGTCCCCCGGCTGGCAGAGAGGTTCCTGGCGGTGCCCATGGCACCCTAAGGCTCTTAGACTGGATTAGTAGGTTAATTACGTCAAGGCTTAGGGCCGAGCATAGCATGAACGCRCTGCCTGTCACTCCTGTCAGGTCCCTACCTGGGCACTGCCAACAGCTCTGGCTGGCTCTTGACAGGTGTCTCAGCCTTTGTGTGGCCCTGGGTGCCACGGGATGGCACAGGACAGCGCTGCYGCACCCCACCTGGGGGCTCAGCCCCAGCATAGCTCAACCCTGGCAACACCACAGCCTTATCCTGCCTGATACGGGGATGGTGCAGCCACACCAGGAGGGCGGAGGGTGCCAGGCATCCTATTGCTGGCAGGGTCCGTGTCCGGCCATCTCAGCGGGCGGCTCCTGCTTGCTTTTCTCCTATAAATAGCTGCACTTTCTGCCTGTCGCCATGACAATCATGGCATGGCGGCATCGGCAGCTCCGGCTGGCGGCCCCCATGCTCCGCTCACCCCTCACTTCCCCAGGGGGGCCTTCTCCGAGGTGGTCCTGGCGGAGGAGAAGGCGACGCAGAARCTCGTGGCCATCAAGTGCATCGCCAAGAAGGCACTCGAGGGAAAGGAGACCAGCATCGAGAACGAGATTGCCGTCCTCCACAAGTAGGGGCARTCCCAGCACCAGGGTGGGGGTCTGTGCCCGACCTCCACACCCGGCACAGCCCCCCACTGCCAGCACCCATTGCCTCATGTTATTGCCAATGCCCAAAATAGCCAGTGGCGCGTGATGCCCCGCGGCACGGAGCCTGGCTGCTCCCTGTCCCGTGGGGGCTGGGGTGGGGGCACCCGGGTGCCCTCTCACCCCCTGTGCCTCCCCCCGCAGGATCAAGCACCCCAATATTGTGGCCTTGGATGACATCTACGAGAGTGGCACCCACCTCTACCTCATCATGCAGCTGTGAGTGACACTGAGGGGCTCCAGAGGGGCTGGGGGCAGGGGGGCCGTGCTGACAGGTGCTGCCCATCCCCGCAGGGTCTCAGGGGGGGAGCTCTTCGACCGCATTGTGGAGAAAGGCTTCTACACTGAGCGGGATGCCAGCGCCCTGATCCGGCAGATCCTGGATGCTGTCAAATACCTGCATGACATGGGCATCGTCCACCGCGACCTGAAGGTGAGGGGGGACACACACAGCAYTGTCATGGTGGTGGCGGGAGGAGATCCCAGTGTCACTGCTCCCTGTGCCCTCCTCTCCTTGCAGCCCGAGAACCTGCTCTATTACAGCATGGACGAGGATTCCAAGATCATGATCAGCGACTTCGGACTGTCGAAGATTGAGGGMTGTGGCAGTGTCATGTCCACGGCCTGTGGCACCCCTGGCTATGTGGGTGAGCACCWGCCGTGGGCTGTCACCACCCTAGGTGTGGGGTTGGGGTCCCCACTCAGGTTGGGGTTCCCCCTCACCCCTGCCATCCCCCCCAGCCCCCGAGGTGCTGGCACAGAAGCCCTACAGCAAGGCAGTGGATTGCTGGTCCATCGGAGTCATTGCCTACATCCTGTATGTATTCCCCATCCCATCCCATTCCCTTCCCTTCCAGGGGGCCTGGCCCCTTGGGACGGCCCAGGACCAGTGTGCCCCTCCCCGCTGCCCCCCCAGGCTCTGCGGTTACCCCCCTTTCTATGATGAGAACGATGCCAAGCTCTTCGAGCAGATCCTACGGGCCGAGTATGAATTCGACTCACCCTACTGGGATGATATCTCAGACTCAGGTGAGCTGGGATCACCAGGGCACTGGGAGCTGTGAGCCTGACACAGCTTCACAGTACCTAGAAGAGTGGTGGGCACAGGCACTCAGAGCTGCTCCATGCCCTGTCCCAGCCAAGGACTTTATCCAGCACCTGATGGAAAAGGATCCCAGCAAGCGCTTCACCTGTGAGCAAGCCCTGCAGCATCCCTGGTAAGGGGGAGACTGGCCCCTGTCTGCTCCCCTCTCCAGTTCACCCCACAKCAGCCATGGGTAGTGGGGCCCCTGCTGACCCCTCTCTTGCTTCAGGATTGCCGGGGACACAGCCCTGGACAAGAACATCCACCAGTCAGTGAGCGAACAGATCAAGAAGAACTTCGCAAAGAGCAAGTGGAAGGTGAGTGTGGGGTGCTGGGGGGTATTAGGGGGTACAGCAGGCCCCAGGCATCCTGTACCAATTGAYGGACACTGTGGGGTCATTAGCAAGCTTTCAACGCCACGGCGGTGGTGAGACACATGAGAAAGCTGCAGCTGGGAACCAGCCAGGATGTCCCTGGGCAGATGACTCCCACCAGCCCTGGCGAGCGGCTGCTTGGGAGTACCAGCAATGGTGAGTCCTAAACCCCCTATCCCCATCCCATASCCCTCGGGGCTGCCACCAGGATCTCACCCTACTCCTCCCCGCAGGGTCAGACTGTGGGCGCCCACCCACAAGCAGAGCTCAGCATCTCCCACCAGACTGAAGATGGCCCCACGTAACCGCAGCCARGGGGGCCCAGGGGCGTCCAGTCCCCCATGGGCACCGTGTGGGATGGGGGGCTCTGCAGTGCAGGAGCAGRGGAAGCAGTGTGGAGGCACCCTGCTCTCCTTGCCCTGGGTATGTGGGGCTGCCCCCACTGCAGGCTCACAGCAGAGTTCTGCATCAGGGCAGGAGCACCCCACAGAGCCCCCCCAGCTTGGGGCTGTGTCCCGGGCCCCTTCCCACACCCCTTGCCTCCGTCCACACCCGGCCTGGCACTATCCCACACCCCCAACCCCAGCATGTTCAAGGACAATTTTCCAAATGGATGTTTCTATTTTATTGCTTGTAATAAAGACAAGAGGCCAAAGGTGCTTGGCTCAGCTCTGCACTGAGGGAGCTGGACACAGGCCTGACCACCCCCAGCCTCACTGCCCAGGGCAGCAGCTTCCCCTGTGGACACAGGGGGCAGGGACAGGCAGCTGCCCACACCCCCACACCCCTCCATCCCAGTCTGGCAGCACRTGCAGTGTCCCACTCAAGTCACTGTTCCTCCTGGGGTGTCCCTAGAGGGGCCCATCCCCGTAGCTGTTCCAGCCTCAGTTCTCCCAGGCCTGATGTTGGCTGCCAGCTGGCTTCTGGCCTTTGCGGAGGTCAGCACAGAACAGGACCTGGAGTGAGATGATGGGGTSGGCACGGCTGGGTGCCACAAGAGGGGTGCCAGCAAGGGTGCCAGGAACAGGGGTACTCACTGCCTGCGCCCAGCCGGCACGAGGGCCCCACAGCTCCCGGAAGAAGTCACCTGTGAAGAGAGCATGAACATCAGCATGGGGGACACCAGCACCATCCTTGAGGGTCCCATGTCAGGGCCCAGCCCTGCCCTCACCGATCTCCTGGTAGGCCCGGGGGGTCAGGCTCTTGCCACCCAATGCCAAACCRTAGCGCTGCCGTGCGATGTGCCAGACGTGGGTGTCCACTGGCACTGCCTCCGCCTTGTCCAGGGACAAGAGGCAGACGCAGTCGGCCACCTGCAACCAGCAGCACCGTTAGCTCCCACTGCTGCTCTTCACTCCCTGTCCCACCACCGTCCCAGCACTCACCTTGGCACCGACACCAGGCAGGGCACACAGCACCTTCCTGGCCTCGGCATAAGGCGCGGTGCGGAGCTGGCACAGCCCCTCGGGGCCRAGCCCCTGGGCGATGGCCCGCGCACTGCCGCTGACAAACTTGGCCCGGTACCCAAAACCCAGTGCCCGCAGCCGGGCCTCGGCATCAGCGCCTGCGGGGGCACAGCAGAGGGACGTCAGTGGGCACAGGCGAGGCCATGGCAGCGGCAGCAGCGGGATGGAGATGCACCTGTGAGTGCCGAGAGGGATGGGAAAGCGTGGAAGGGCCGGTCGTCGAGGCAGCAGAGGCGGCGGCCAAAGGCTTGGCAGAGGCGCTCAATCATGGCAGTGATGCGGGAAATGTGGTTGTTGGAGGTGCAGATGAAGGAGAAGAGGCACTCGACGGGGTCCTGCCGCAGCACCCGCACCCCTGCAGACAGTATGTGGTGAGGGGATGCTGGGCCGGTGCTATGGCCATCCCTGGTAGCTCCGTGGAGCCACCTCACCTGGGAATTCACTGGCCACCTTACGGAACAAGGGGTCGGCCGTCCCCCAGGCACGGTACAGGGCCGACAGCCCCACGTCCAGCTGGAAGTAGTCGCGCAGGATCCGGTCYGTCTCTGCACCGTCCAGCTTCGCTGCTTTGGCGGGACACCCATCCTGCTCCTCCTCATGCTCATCCTCCTCGCCGTACACCGTGTACCAGAGCTGGTCCCCGTCCTGCCGCAGTGTCCAGACGCGCCCCCCCAGCACACCCGTCCAGGCCCCCGGGCTGCTCTCCCACCACCTGCCGCACACGGGGGAGTCGGGGCCGGCCCGGACGCGCCGGGCTGGGCCGGGGGACGCCGGGACCGCCGGGCTGGCTCACCGGAARCTCTGTCCCGAGGAGAGCACCAGGTCCAGGCGCAGCTCGGCCGGCGGGCACGGCAGGCAGCGCCACAGGGACGGGCAGGCGGACGGGGCATCGCGCAGCTTCATSGGGGCCGGGGAGCGATTGCGCGCCCCTGCCCGCGGGGGCGGCGGGGTCAGGCACCGCCCGGCGCTGCGCCTCAGGCTGCCCCACAGCCTCGGCCCGGCCCCGCACCGTTCCGTTCCCGAAGAGTCCCCGCCCGCGCTCCCGGTACCGCAGATGCGCACCCGGCCCCGCCGCTCCCCACCATAGAGAAACCCCGCGGGCGGAGCGCCCGCCGCTCCCCGCCCGTTTCCGCCTGCAGCCGGAAGCGCGCCGGGCGCCGCCGCACGTGTCCGCCCCGCTCCCCATCCCGCTCCCTCCCCGCCCGCAGCGGCCGCGGCTCCGCAGCGGAGGTTTATTTTCTAAGAATCAATAGATTTTTTTTTCTTCCTTCAAAATAAATACAAACAACGTCCGAGCGTGGGGCCGGCCAGGGGCTGGGCCCGGGGATGGGGGGGGCAGCACGGGGGTGCGGGGCGCGGGGGGCCGCCCTGGGACACGGCGGCGGCCAGAACAGCATCCCGGGGAGCGGCGGGCTGTGGGGAGCGGGCACCGGGAATGGGAGAGTGGGGGGGCGCGGGGGGCCGGCCCCACCCCTCCCGGTCCCCCGTCCCCCCGTGGGTGCAGGCCAGCTGCACGGGGGCGGGGGCGGTCCCCGAGCCCCGTTTGCCCTGAGATTCGGCGGGGGAGCGGCCRGCGGGTGCCGGCTCAGTCGCTCTCGCTGGAGTCACTGCTCTGCTCGCCCTGCACCTTGTTGCGGTGCTGCATGGCGCGGTGGTAGGCGATCTGCACCGACTTGCGGATGTTGGACTTGCGGCCCTCCAGCATCTTCTCCTTGTCCAGGTCCTGGTTCACCCCCAGAGGCACCAGCTTCGTCCGGGGCAACCACTGCCTGCAGAGAGCAGGGGGCCACCTCGTTTGAGGGTTACAATCGTCTCCGGACACCCCCCCCACAAAGCCCTCAGCGCCCTGACCTTACCAAGTGCGCTTGTTGTCAAAGAAGAGGACAAGGTAGAGGTGCTCGCGTGCTTCCTGAGTCATCTGCTCCCCCAGCTTCAGCACCTCCAAGGGGGGCACGGGGATGGGGACGCCRTGGTGGAACATGCCTTCCCGCGGCATCTTGGGGTCAATGATCTGCCAAAAGAGCAGGAGAGCTGTGAGAGAACAGGGACCCCAAGAGCCAGTCTGCAGGGAGGGGAGGTGGATTTCAGAGGCCCCGATAACAGGCGGTACTCACCAATGCCGGGTAGGAGGGGTACCCCCGGCACTTGGCCCACACCAGGTCCAGGGCATCCAGGGAGGAATCTTCATCCTCAGACAGCCACCCTGCACCACGCCCCATGCCCTTACGCACCACTGTGCAGGAGGAGAAAGGAGGGGAGTCAGCTGTGTGGCCCTAGGTGACAGTGCCAGCCAGGCACACGGCTGCACAGCCACAGTACTTACTGCCGTGGCTCACGCCTCGCCCTGTGCCCACGGAGTAGGACTCATTCTCCGTCCCTGATGTGTCCTCACTGCTGTCCTCTGGGAAGTTCACCCGGGAGAAGGAGGGTTTCCCTCTGCCCTGCTTGGAGGGTGTTGTGCTGCAGAGATAGGGAGCAGAGCCATCAGTAGAAGTCGTGTTAAGCTTCCAGAAACTGCTTTCCAGAGGGCCAGGTGGGTGGGACACCARGGCTTATGGCCTCCAGCTGCTTGCCTCAGCACTGGGAAGGACTTAGCAGGGGTACCAGGCAGCAAGGTGGGATGGTGCTTCTGTCAGGGTGTCAGCCAGACCTTCACCCAGTTTCACCTGAGGGGATCAGTAAGTTTTGCCCTGATCCAAATTAGAGGTGCAGGCAGGAACCTGCTGATGCTGGCTGCTGGAATGGCCAATGACAGAGCAGCYGCTATGCCAAGAGGGAATTCCCCAGTTCATGCTCCCTAACAACCCTTTGCTGCACACTCATGCCTTTAGGTTTTACATTAAAAAAGGCCCAAACCCTGCAGATTTCTAAGGATTAACAGCCAGGCTGCAGAAGGATGACAGAGACAGGAACCTCCAAAGGGGGTTCCAGGGTTCAGGCAATTCAAGSCTGAAAGCTGCCCACTGCCACCCTGGGTGACACCACTGTCATCAGAGCTGGGCCAGGGATGGTACCTGGTGCGGTCTGAGGCAGCGCTGCTGCTGCTGCTGCTGCTGGACTCCGAGTCGGAGCTGCTCCGGGGAAGATTGCAGTCGTTGCGGTACACCAGGAAGCTCTTCTTCACGGGCTGGTTCCCGCTGCTGAAACCGTTAGCTGGCAGGTCTGAAAAACACCCCAACAAAGAGCATTACCACTGCACCAGAGCCTGCCATGCACTGCCAGCAGGCCCATGGGTGCCCAGCTACACCCACCCATGGTAGCATCCTCCGTGGACTTGTCACTGTCACTGTCCGAGCTGGAGCTGGGGCGCGGGCTTCGCCCTCGCTTCCTCTGCCGCTGGGAGGACCCCATTATTGGCAGCTGGGGKGGCCCAATGGGGCTGTTCCCATGCCCAGGAGTGATCTGGCTGTCTCGATTCTTTGGGGGGCGTCCTGGACGTTTTGGAGGGCCTGCAGTTTTAGGGTTCTTCTTGGAGAAGAGCACAGAGGTCCTCCKGCCAACTTCATGTGCTGGGGTAGAAGAAGAATTGGGACCCAGACCTGGAAGAGGGAGAAGGTGTCAGCTGCAATGCTGATGGCAAGGACTGCATAGCAGTGGCATCAAGACACAGCTTCATTTCTTGGGAACATTATCTAAGAAGATCCTCCCTGACTGCAGAACTGGCTTTTCCCAGTGATTAGAAGACAGGACCAGGATGCAGAGGTGGCAAACCCCCAGTGACATGTGGAAGCTCTGCCYGGAGCTTTTGCTGTGCTCCCCAGAGCCCAGTTCAGGGGAGCTGGCAGCTGGCCTGTGTTCCAACTCAGCCCTGGGAGAGCAGTTGGAGCTAGGCAGTCAGTGTACCTTCCTCCCATGCCCTCAGGCAGGAAGGGRCACTGAAGGCAGCCTGCTCCATAATGCCCCTAGAGAAACCAGGCAACATGGCCAATCTGACAGGGCCTGGCTAGAGGAAACAATCCACCTCATGCCCCACATCACACACTGGAACTGTCAGTCTCTGGAACAACATGCCATTCCTTGACTGACAAGGACATGAGTTTACCAGGTGAGTGCTGACCACACCTGTGAATACCAGCGACCTGCCAACCCTCCCTACGGGCAAACACACAGCAGGCTGTGGCTGTTCCAGACACAGGACGTGGCCTCCTTCATCTGCCAATGCCCCCTGCTTGACGGGTACAGCTCATTACAAACTATCCACTGAACATGGTGGGGGGCAGCCTGGGGAGGCACTGACATCGTACTCACCCCTAAGGAAGGCACTACTGGAAACAAGGTATCACCACAGGGGAATGGGGGTTAAGGGACTGTCCCACAAGAGGCAGCTCCCCAGACTGGCAGTTCTGGAGRGAGCATTACCTTTGCCAGTCTCCTGGCTGCTGCTCTCCTCCGCAGCACTGTCTGTCTGCAGGTCCTTCTCGCAGGGGTTGTGGGACTGCAAGACTCCCCTGGCAGAGGAGCTGTGCCGCTCCAGCCCGTCCCGGCCCAGCTCCCGTGGGTGCGCGAGCTTCCGCCGTAGGACTGTGATCTCCTTCTTGATCATCTTGGCCCGGCGGGACCGTCCTATGCTCTGCTTGCCAGCATTGACCTCATCCAGCCGCTCCAGCAGGATCTTCAGCTGCTCCTCCAAGGGCAGGTGCTTCTGATTCTCTGAGAGCAGCAGCCGCACATCTTCTGGGGAAACAAAGAGGAAGAGATGGATGAAAGAAATCAGGAACTCATTGGAGCTCTTCTACCTGAAAGGGAATGAGGCAATCCAGGTTCCCAGCACAGGAGAAGGAGGTGATATGGCACCAAACTCCTGTGAACCCTTTAGGGAAGTCACCCTAAAAGATCAAGAGAAGAARCCCTGTGGGAAATCAGCCAGTTGCAACTGCTGGGGAAAGCAGGCTGATCAGCGGGGTGGAGAATAGCAGGGTTCACATCGTCTGGAACAAGGACACAAAAGGACACACAGACAAACCACTGCCTAATGGGGCTCACAGGTAGCTGGCTAGCAAAACCAGCAGCTCTCTGGGGAGTGGGGACACACAGTCCAGCATTCGACTTAAACTCCCAGAGGAGGCAGCTCATATTCTTGGGTGCCTTGACTCTGCTCAGATTACTCTGAGTAGCCCTCATACCCCAGGACAGGGGATGAATACCCACCATCCTCAATATCTTGGACTGGAGCCTCTTCCACGGTTACACAGTGGGGGAAATGCATGCCTGTCTCGAAGTCAATGCCCATCTTCTCTGCCTGCCGGCGAGCCTGCCGGAGCACGGCACCTCCTTGCTCCCGGAGACGGATGGCTGCCCGGTAGAAGATTGTGTCTTTGGCATTGTATTTCAAACAGTTGTTGATAATCAGGTTGAAATCCTCCTCGAAGTCATCGAAATTCAGATAGCGATAGGCTTCCAGATTTTGTTTCATTGTCTGAAAATCCATCGGCTTCTTGATGTGATCCAGGTAGTCTGGGACCTGCATGAGGAAAAAGCCAGAGCTAAGAGCCCAGGAGCTACAGTTAGCAGTACCTGCTCCAAGAAAACAGTTGTTAGAGGAATCAGGTATTGCTTCCTGTGCTCTGCCCAAATGCACATCGGGGAATGCCGTCTGCTTTTGCAGCTTGAGGAATAGCAACGCCTCCAGACTAGGCAGCCCATGTGCTGTGCTCAACCTGTTAGAGCGGATATGCACTCGGAAGCGTTTTTATGGCTCCAGCACACACGCCAGCATCCTGTCCTCAACTCCTGCCTGCAGACAGCTGGGATCCAGTATGCTACAGGCTGTTCCCTGGAGAGGGAGCTGCAAGTGCAGCCCCAGGGGAGAGAGTGAGTGCAAAAGGTAAAACAGAGTGGTTCAGGTGGCAGCACTGGCTGCAGKTGGGATGGCGCAGCCTCCTCCCCAGCTCTGCTCGGATGACTCCATGCTGACCTGCTGTCAGTAACTTGCAGAGACCATGTGGACTTTCCCCACATTCCCAGGCAGGGACTCAGTGACAGTTTCAGGAATTATCTCCCCTGCCTGCAGCAGTGACAGTCAGAGGGTTAAACCCATCTCTGTGCTGGGCTCAGTCAGTCACCTAGCAGAGGCCTTCGTAAGACGATAGGTAAGAGCATGCCAGATGGCATTCTGCCTTTCCCAGTGGGAA